ATTTTGTGATTATTTATGTTGCTATGTGTTCGAATAGAAATTGGACCAAATGCTGATAAAGATATTTGCAATCAAATCGTAATTTATAATCACATGCCGTAGTAATTTTTGCCATTAGCTGAAATCTATATTTATTGTTGTTTAAATTTAAGTTGCGACAAACCGTATTTCAGTCACTTATTCGTGTTTAAATGTTTGCATACTTTTATTATTATTATTTAATTTAATTTAGTTTAATTACATACTTTTAAAATGAGTCAGAGTAGTGTAATTTTTTATGCAACTTCTGACTGGAATATAAAAAATTTCGTCTCAAATCAACTGACTTCAAATAATGTTTAGTGTTAAATTTGCTATAGTGTTTTAAATCGTTTCTTTTTTTCTACCAGATTCGTTTCTATTTTCTAGCATGATTCCTTAGCTTACAGGTCACTGTACAAAGTCCAATATCTCTACGGAGTATCCCAATGAGAATTTTGGATTTGCTTTTATCGGAACGTGGTCAGATTGTATACAGATGCATACATATCGTTGAGTCTTCCCAACTTTTATTAAAAATTTCAATACAAAAAGAACTCAGAACCAGTTTGGATAATCGGCTACAGTTAGTTGTTAAAAAAGATCTACTTTAGACGAAGAAGGAGGAGAACTGTACTCTGCTGAAAGTGTAGAGTTTAAGTACTGTGAATTTATGTATTTATTTCTGGAAGATTAGTGCTGTCCTTTCGTGCTCCAGTGAAAATTTAGTTATATAAAGAACTTATGGCATATTTATTTACTTTAAATTTATTAACCATAAATAACCATAACCAAATTTACCTATAAATTTACATAGAGAGGTGTGGTAGCCTATTTTAATGTATATTCATTTCAATGTGTTACCAAGAGTTTCAGTCTTGAAAATTTTGATTATTCAGGATAATCTGTTAGCAATAATTGTAAATCAGAAGAAGAAAAATTTATTATTATCTTTGAGGTTTTTCTTGGCTAGGTGTTCAGTTAGATTTTGATCAGAAGAAATCAGATTTTTCTGCAACTGCAGTTAAAAAATGACTACTAAAACTATGTTAAGTTTACAGGTATCTCTGACTTTACTAAAAGTCATGATTAATGGCATCAGAACAATCATGTCTGGACCCATGACTTCTTACGCTTTGTTATAACTTATTCAAATAGCTTGGTTTCAATCAGCGTGTTCTTCGTGATATGTCCTTATAGAGGTGCTCTAGAGACGCTATCAGGTAACTAATGTAATTTTCACTGTTGTGTATTTTGGAAGCGATTTGCTATAAGTTCGTTTTCCGGTCGCTCTAGTTAAAATAAAAATCATAGTACTTTTCGATCTACCATTAACAGAAGCGTTACAATTTACTTTTACTATAATTCGATTTTAGGTAAATTCATCAATTTACGTTTTCAAACAGTTTAACTGTAGACTATACACTTAAAATTAGTTAGTAGCATATGCAAACAGTACGCTACATTAAATGAAAACTAAATTAATATTGTAATATGAAAATATATAATATTTATTTGTTATAAATACATTTTTTGAATTTGATTACGAATAAAAGCAAACACTAGCTGACTGCTGTCTTTTCAGTTTTATTTTATCTGGTTTTCTATTATAAAAGATTTGTTGCGATTGATGTGTTCTTCTTAATGATTTTAAAAATAAAAAAATAATTTTATGCTCTTCTTAATTTATCCGCGCATGCGCTTCAAGAAACGCCACACGCCGCAGATAAAATGTTTATGCCCCCTTCTTTTATAAAAACGCAAAACGAAATAAAACTGTTTTTATAATAAATGCAGATACTCTCTAATCGGTATTAAGCTATTAAGCACGATTATGTATTAAAATAGTTTAGTTTATGCTCCAAATAGCATCTTTAAAGATATTGCCATGATTGTAGTTGCAATTCTTTGGTGCAGATTTACTTAAATATGCAGAATTGTTTCTTTATTAAAGGGACTATAGATATATTTATATAAACTATTGTTCCTAAAATCCTATACACCTCGTTAATGTCTCTGTTAAATCGAAACCTGACCTCCGAAGTAATTTTCCATCTCAAGTAATGGTATGGGCAGTTGTGACCGCTGATGGATGTTCTCCAATACGACTAAAAAATACGCCAGTATGGAAGAAATGCGCTGAAGAAAGTGCATCCATTCTTCAAAAATCGGCCAATATACCGGAAGATCACATTTGTTTGAAAGCAATAGTCAAGGCAAAAGGTAGCCATATCGAGCTAGAGTGAATGGACTCTGAATTTTTGAACCTTCTTCATATAAAATCTCTCTCTCTCTCTCTCTTGGTTCTTCTGCAGTAAAAATTGGGGTTCTAATACATTTTGTTAAGCAATGTCAATCTATGAACAATATCTGGCGATGGCATCTGTTAGGGTTTTTCCTAGAACATAATGCTCCAGGACTTCTGGACAAAATGAGCATAATTCATGTGCAAATTGTTTTTCCTCAATTTAATTTTGAGTAACTATTTCTTAATTTTTTTAGAAATCTATTCAAAAATAGTAAAACACATTTTGTCAACTTTGTTTATTTAAATATTAACGTGTCTCTAAGAACTCAGACGTCTATGCATAGCCTTCAGTGCTAACCAATTCAATTTAAGCTATAAGGTGTTATTTTTAACTATATGTAATGTATTATTCTAAAACTGATCTCAATATTAGTATTTCAATGAAAAACTTGTAAACTGATGTAAGCATATTTCCTAAATTTTAAATTATATTCTTAGGAGTTTTTAGTAAAATGTTTGTAAGCTTATAAGTGCGTCTTAGTGTAATTTTTGTAATTCTTACTGGATGTGTCTAAGATGGCAGATTATTGTGTCCTCTTGAAAAAAGTAACTCTTTGCCATATTCTTTATGAATGTTTTGTTTTGATTTGAAGCAGAAGGAAAATACTGGAAGAATACCGAAAGCTCATGTTCTTATAAGCTGATGAGAGACATTCTGGCTTTTATTTTAAATTTTACATGTCTTATGCTCGCTTACAGTTAGGTTTGGTTAGATTATACCGGCGATCTCTTGTGGATCCACTTAGACCTAATCACCCATTGTGTTACCGTATATATAGGAAAAACCTAGGGTTTAAAACCACCTAGAACCTATGGCGAAGCCTAAAATGCTATTTAGTGTCAGGTTTTTTCATTGATCAAGATCCTCAAGAAAGAGGGCTCCTAAAGTGTTGAGAAAGGCACTCTCATTGTCTTCTGCACAGCTGCGACAGATTTGATTGGAAGGTAGACATAATCTTCTAGCATGATTCCCTAGTTTACCGTGACCTGTAAATAAACCTACCAAAGGTCCAATGTCTCTACGGGGTATCCCGTATGTATCCCGGAACGTGGCCAGATTGTATACAGATGCTTACATATCGTTGAGTCTTCCCATCTTTTATTAAAAATTTCAGTACAATCGGCTACAGTTAGTTGTTAAAAAGATCTACTTTAGTCGAAGAAGGAGGAGTACTCTACTCTGCTGAAAGTGTAGAGTTTAAATTTGTCTATAAGTATCTCATTTTGTAGAAAAGTGCGGATAAATTTTTTATTTAAATATTGTGCCCACGATTAATGAAATAAAAACAAATTTTGTTATTTTGAAATGTTCATTTATCTTTTTCGCAAAAAAAGAGCAAAACGAAAACGAAAAGTATAAATAAAATATATTTTCTTTACGCTGCGACAGCTACAAATCCTTTCAAATGCCAAAAATGTAACAGTGTGGAGTGAAATTTTGGTCAATTCAGTAGAACGGAATTTTGTTTAAAATAAGATTTTTTCTTTTTCCTCTTGTTTTTTTTCTTGTTTTTAAAAACATATTTTGAGTGCAAAAAAAAAAAAATATAAATATATATAATAAGAAAAACAATAATATACCAAAATTATAAATATTTTCTTATATGCACAAATCAAAAAAAAAAAAGAAGAAAATAATTCAAATTAAGTTAATTTTTAACCTAATTAACGTATTTGCTGACGTTAATAAATAATACATAAAAAAAAAGAAAAATTTAAATAAAATAAAAATTCAGCATAAAAAATTTTAAAAATTGTAATAATTATTGACGGTCGACGGTGCAGTGCAGTTTTAGAAATTAGTCTCTCCTCCTCCTACAAGCTTTTAAAAATAATTTTGTAATTGTTATTTAATATTGAAAAGATGTCAACCGCCGCTTTGTGTTATTGGCAATCAATCACCTCCAACATGAAACTGAGTAATGATTGGGAAATGGATGGCCCAAGGTGTGAAGGTGTAAATGTTGATATTTGCGTTGGTGATAGCAGCAGTCATAACAAAAATAGTGATGTTAGAGCAGCTGATTTTGATGGTCACCAATTGATGAGGAATTGTAGGTTACTAAATGTATCTGCATTTTTTTCTATATATTAATTTGTAATAGTACTGTAAGCCATGAGACTCTCTCCTTAACTAACTCTCTCCTTAACTTTTATCAAATTTGAACTCAGTTAAATATCGATTTTCTTTAACGATACAGGCACGTATTTGATACTTTAATTTGAAAATTAAAAAGCATTGCGTACGTATGTACATAAAAATATTTGTGCTATTTTAAATACTTTTCAGTAGCTCACTGAACACAATTATACTCAAATTATTTCATAAAAACATAAACTTTTTAAACAAAAAATTAAAAACCAGAAAAACCAAATCATTTTAGTTCTTTAATGTAAACCTATTTGAATATAAATATATTTCGGTACAATTTTTCCATAACTTTGAAATAGATTAATAGATGTAAATCCAAATGGAATTGTGCATATATACTTACTTAAAAATTTGTTATATTTGCTTTACCATGCCATATCATTAAATAACATATTAGGTATAGTATAACGTACATAAAACTGCATAGAGTATTTATAATAAAAAATATATATTTATTAATCGGAAAGTACTGCTGCTAAGACATTAGATATTTTGTGCATGAAGCATTTGGCTTCCTCAGTATCAATGAAATATACAAAATAAAAATTTATACAATCTATTTCTGTCATGCCCTGAAATAGTAGTCTTATCCTGTGTAGCGATGTGTATTTAATTAGTGATATACTTTTGTTACGAGACAGATCTTCCTAATGAAGACAAAGAATAGAAAATAGATTTTATTTTTGATTCAAAGATAGATATTATTTTTCTTAAAAAATTATCAACTACTTAAACCATTAAAAAATGGCAATCGTATTTCTTACAATATACAATAGATGTATTGCCAAAATTTTGTTCTACTAAACTACTATATTTCCTCTAGACTTTAGTTTGGTTTCAATAATTCTATTACTCTCAACTATGGTTTGTTGAAGTAACCTAGGAGGTAAAACTCCATTATGTTTTTGAATGTCTATGGTCAATATCAAGAAAGTTTAATTCTGTTGTAATTATATATCGTCAACTTTAGTTTGAATTTTAATATAACTTGATTTAAAGAGAAAATGGTTACTAACCACTTTCATTAAGCCGCACTTCGCTTTATCATTCTAAAAAAAAACATTGACTAAAGAGCAAAGAGCTGACGTTTTCAATGCACATATCTTTGTTGATAATATAAAAATTTATATTTAAGCTAATTATAATATATGTTTCAGACTTTTACTTTTTAAGCGTGTCCATGAATATTTGTTATATTTTTAGTTTCTCTCTTCCGTTGAAATTTAGTTCGTAATTAATATAACATTAATTGTTTTGTTTAATTTTGATAAGCTATACAATTTATACTTAGTTTTTGGTAAGATTATTTATATTTCGACTTAAAATAAAAATCTGAAAGTATAAATCTATCGCTTTTCCATGTTACCCAATAGCGGAGTATAGTGTACTTTTTATATAGAAAGATAATCTTTTACATCGAAGTATTATGCTTAAAAATAACTATTTCTGATGATTAAGATATTTGTGACATTAAGGGTTATAGCATTTGTGTACTGGGGAATATTTAAAATAAAATATTTTAACTTTAGATAAAACTATAAAAGCAAATATTTTGTGCCTCAATTTAATTTACTTTTGTTTCGATTTGGTGTATTTTAATTTAAATATAATCTTAGAATCTCTCCCCACTAAACTGAATATATCGAAAACGAAAATTGTGTAATATTTCTAAAAGTTAAGTAATTTGGTCTTCTGCTTTTTTCTGCTATGTAAATCACAACTTTTGGCACAACAGCAAGACTTTTTGTATAGAATTCGATAAAATCTATGGTTTCTTCATAAAATTTCTGTATCATATTGTATACGCAAATGTATTATGGTTGACAGGTGCTGTATTGTAAGTTCCTGCATCGAACAATGCACGTCTATTAAAATTTTTAATATGAAAGAAAATTTATTAGTTTTTATAAGTAAAATTTTACAACTTGTTTTTCTTGCAATAATTAAATATGAATTACTTTTTCCGTCTTTTATATTATTACTTTATCGATATTTGAATAAGTCTAATTGATCATCATTTTATTATAACCTCATCCGTTCCTGATTGCAGTACCGAAATCCGCACAAAAACTATTTTAAATCGTAGATATACTTTAAATCAAAATGGAGTGTAATTATGTAGCTATTTAAAATATTTTTTTGTCAGTGTTCTATAACAAATTTATTTAGTTTATAACAAATTTATTATTATAGAAGAAGTAATTATAGAAGCAATATTTTCTTTTTTTTTGTTCTGCTTTAAATATACATATATATTCTCAAATCTCTTTTATATATAGCAGAGTCTCGCTTTAACGAATACTCTATACAACGAAACTTTTAAGTAACAGACGATCGTATACTTTTAAAAAATCTATCCTACCAAAAAGTTTGTCTGTACATTCTCTGTACGAATGCTACATATAAAACGTATTCGAAATAATAAAAGACGTAGACGTGTTTTATTTTTGTCTTAAAACTTTAACAATTTAATAGGTTATTAAGGTAATTCTAAGAATTTACTTAAGCCTGTTGGCCAATAGGCTTATCGGATAAACTCTGAAATGGTCAAAAACCACTACGTATCTATAATCAAGCCCTCTTAAGGAGAGGCGCTGCAAATAATATTCTTATATTAGAGGTTACTACCGTAGGAAACTATAATTGTTTGATCGTTGTTACTTTTTCTAATCGGTTCATATGTATATGTGGAGCTGCTTGGAGATCCTAGTTTAAATTCAAGATAATGTTAAATTCTTTCCATTTCATAGGAATATGGTGTAGGTAGGTGGAGGCGTCTTCTTCCTGTTTTTAAAAAGACTTAAGAAACAATATTGTTGCCAAATTTTTGTTTAAAATTAATTTTAGTAATTCCAACAAGTCTGACACATGTGTATAAGCTATGTATCAAAATATAGCATTTGATATCATATAGAGTGGGTCTACCTAAAGAAGTGCTTAGTTTATGTTTTCTTTTCCCCAACATACAAAAGATTAATCCTACTGTTTAACATTTCCAATGTCGAGTTCTTTGAATAAGGACTTTGTTAATAAGGACTCTGTTTCTCTCTTATTTTAGACGCTATTTTACATTAACAGTTGTTGGTATTTTCTAAATTCTAGACGATCGAGATTTAAAAATCTAAGTCAAATATATTGATCAATATTGATTTTTCATCATTTTATTGTTGTCTAAGTAACCATCCAAAAAAGTTAGATTTATTCTTTAATATCTGTTGTAAGAAATTGGTTATATATCTATGGTGGTTTTACTTCATTACTAGTTTCAGTAAATGACACAAGTTCCTCCTGAACAAATTCCTTAAATATGTTAAGCGTTTGAAGTTCACAACGTGCGATAAATATAGGTGTATTTTTCTACGTTATTATAAAGGACCATTAAATCTTACTAAATACTAAATTACCCTGACTGTGTTTTTTGTGTTGGTAATACTATATAGTAGATATATTTAAATTAAAATCTTTTTAACTATAGTCATTAATACTATCGAAACCATGTTACCAAAGAGAAAATACATGAAATGCATATATTATTGACAACACTCCTAGATTTTGTGGCAACTAACAATGTTTTACAAAGTTTTATAGATTATACTATTTTTCACATAAATACTGTGAATTTAACTGCTCAGAGACTATATACATTTTTTAAGGTTTTGGGATTGCCAACATAATTTATCTCTTAGTAGTTAATATTCTCTGGTATCCTATTTCATAACAAATAATAATGTTAGAAAATTAACAAGGGTGTTATTACTACTATGATTGGTTCGATTTTATATATGAAATATAAATCTTACTATTGTTTAATTTCTAAACCACCTGAGCAAGGGTTTACATATATTCCTTTGTATATTATTTTTTGTTTACTAATATTTCTCTGTTTTAATAGTCTGCCCAGATAGATTTCACGTATTCTAATTGACGCAGCTTAAAAGGTTACATACTATATTCATAATTTTTTACTCTAAAAGATTTTTAAAAAATGCTTTTAAAATTTGTTTTTATCTATGTATTTTTAGTTTCTTTCTTAGTGTTATTAGATTCTAGTGTACTTAGTTGTCATATGAGTTGTTTCTTGCTTTTATGAGTTCATTTAGTTTTGACTGTAATTGTTCGTTTAATTGAGCAGTGATCCCAGATTTTTAAGATTTTTGATGACTTTTAAATATTAAATTTTCAGGTTTTTTCTTCTAACTAGGACGTGTTGATCACTGAGAGATACATCTACATACCATTTGTATAAAAGTGGATATTGATCCATTTACAGTTTGGTTTAACCATCTTCGGACTAATACACACATTCTTATAATGATATTTTGCACCTTCAGTAATTTTTGTTCTTCTACAACGCCACTAGTGATTTTTAGAAAAGGCAATATATGGTATATTTCATTTGATATCACTTGATATAATTTAAATTAACTAGAATTTGTCTATGTTTACACTTTTGAGTACCCAAAATTTGTCGAAACTGCTCTTAAATTTTAAATTTATAGATTTTCTTCAGAAATTTTATGATAATTATTCATTACTTTTTGGTGCTGCAAGCTGGCACTATGACTTTTGATTAATTGAATGTTTACATTTGAAGTTAGTTCAGCACTCTCTACATACATGGGTAAAATGAGGAATTTATTTCATAAGTGATATGAATTAAAAAAATATAATTCAACATTAAGACTGTTTTTAACATTGAAAATGTATATATAGATGCGTTCGATTTTTTTATTATCTCTGCTCGGCTGCCAAAATTCTACAAATTGATTTCTTGAGTTGTTCATATAGAAAGAAATTTGACAGAACGATATAACCAATAATTCTTATTGGTTGATGTAAATTCTAATCAACTTCTATGTTTTCTTGAAAACGAACGATCAGAACATTTGTTTATCTTTCTTAGTGTTATTAGATTCTAGTGTACTTAGTTGTCATATGAGTTGTTTCTTGCTTTTATGAGTTCATTTAGTTTTGACTGTAATTGTTCGTTTAATTGAGCAGTGATCCCAGATTTTTAAGATTTTTGATGACTTTTAAATATTAAATTTTCAGGTTTTTTCTTCTAACTAGGACGTGTTGATCACTGAGAGATACATCTACATACCATTTGTATAAAAGTGGATATTGATCCATTTACAGTTTGGTTTAACCATCTTCGGACTAATACACACATTCTTATAATGATATTTTGCACCTTCAGTAATTTTTGTTCTTCTACAACGCCACTAGTGATTTTTAGAAAAGGCAATATATGGTATATTTCATTTGATATCACTTGATATAATTTAAATTAACTAGAATTTGTCTATGTTTACACTTTTGAGTACCCAAAATTTGTCGAAACTGCTCTTAAATTTTAAATTTATAGATTTTCTTCAGAAATTTTATGATAATTATTCATTACTTTTTGGTGCTGCAAGCTGGCACTATGACTTTTGATTAATTGAATGTTTACATTTGAAGTTAGTTCAGCACTCTCTACATACATGGGTAAAATGAGGAATTTATTTCATAAGTGATATGAATTAAAAAAATATAATTCAACATTAAGACTGTTTTTAACATTGAAAATGTATATATAGATGCGTTCGATTTTTTTATTATCTCTGCTCGGCTGCCAAAATTCTACAAATTGATTTCTTGAGTTGTTCATATAGAAAGAAATTTGACAGAACGATATAACCAATAATTCTTATTGGTTGATGTAAATTCTAATCAACTTCTATGTTTTCTTGAAAACGAACGATCAGAACATTTGTTTATCATATACTATAGAATTAAATTATGCCTCTCCAATCTGACCATTATAATAAATTTACTACCTATTTAATTATTAAAATGCAGTCAGTACAAATTAATTAAAATATATTCTTTGAAGTTTTAAATTACATTTTTCATTTATCTCAATTTAAAAAAGATATTACAAACCTATTATATATATTTATTGCAATTTTTATTTTAATATGATGAACTTTAAAAAAAAATGCAGAAGTTACTTTTAAATTATTTTCTTTTATTGTTATCCAATAAATTATATATTTTATTTAATTAAACATAAAAAATATTGACTAATAATATACGTTTATTATTTTATTTATTTAAGTGTCTGCAGCTTATGTATCCAGTGCGGCTTCGGGGGTTGAGTCTGGTCGCCAGAGGCATGCCCCGCTTTATGGACGCTTTGTGGTCGAGGAGGAACTTCCCGCAACACATCGAGATGTAATGCATCACGTGAGTACTTTACCACTTATTCTATTGTTGAAAGTTTTATAAAATTTTTAATTATTTAAAAATGTGTTGATTTATAGCGATCTAGTCCAACGTCGTCGTCTGAAGTGCGAGCTATGCAGGCACGAATCCCAACACATTTTCGTGATCCAGCAACAGCGCCGCTTCGAAAACTAAGCGTGGATTTAATCAAGACCTACAAGCATATAAATGAGGTACGTAACAATATAATAAATGTAATTAATGAAGAATCAAAGTGCAATCCAAATAAGAATTTGTTTATAGAGTTTTGAAAGTCTCATCCATTCATTCATAATTAGAAGTAAATACAAATTTACTTTAAATTATTCTTAAACTATTTTGAGATTTTTGTAAAGTTATTTTTGTACTATAAAAAGAATAATGTCAATTAGATAAAAAAAAGCTCATCTTATAATTAGTTCTTAGTTCTCTGTATTAGACGTCGTAGATACTTTTTTGTTTACAACTGTGTTAATGTGTAGAATTAATTTATCTATATTATTTGCATATTCGTATGTAAAATATTTATCATTTCTATTAGATATTATAATAATTAAAATATACGATTGCTTGCAATTGCAGTAGTCTTTCAATCGAATCACATGTTCATATCGCATTTGTTTCGTCGCACACGTTTCAACAATGACAAGTACATACTAAGAGTTGTCAATGACAGAACGCCCTTGACCTGGGTATATGTTTCATCGACACTGCGTCTATAATAAGTTGTTTTTGCTTCTGTTGGTTGGTGGTCTTTGTTGCTACCTGCGTCATATATTGCCACTTTGTCTTTTGTGTGTGTACATTCTAAATGTTATTGAGAAATTAAAGAAAAAACTAACCAAACAAGAACGTTTTATGGGTAAAGTCCGCTTTTGCATAACGAGATAAAACGCTATATCAGAATGCATTACAAATAGTTTTTATAATCAGATGTGAATAAATAGATGCGGCGCTTACATAAAAAGTTCAATAACTGATATTAAAACTAATGTATTGAATTCTATAAAATCATGTTTGTGTGTACGTAAATTCTTAGAATTTGTATGGTTTAGTCCACATACCACATGCCACATACCGCTTCAAATGTTGCACATGTTTTGAGAGCTTTTCGTCTGTCTATGCGTCCTTTTGTTCTCCAAATCAGGAAAAAATGAACATTAAACGTCGCCGTCGTTGTTAGAATACACCCATTTTTAAGCGTTCTGCTTTACAAGTTATGCCTTAAATACCTTACCAGTGGTTGCTTTGTGCAGACTTTACAGTTCTCCCTCTTCTGCAAAGTAATTGAATCCTGCACATCAGTCGGTACATGTGCTCACTATCTGTCCATTTTTCTGCAAACATAGCCCTTTTACGGTGTGTGTGTAACTTGACTCTCTTCTGCGCTGTTATGTTAACATTATGCACAGCGACTCTCTCTCTCTCTCTCTCTCGCAACCTCCTCCTACTCTTACAATTTTTTGCTAATGTTTTCGTTAGCAACAACTTTTCAAACTTCATTTTATGAACTCATTATCCTTACAATTTTTTTATATACGTTTTCAAATAAAATACAAATACTAAAATTTTTGATTTTACATTTAGATACTAGTTTTTTCCTAAAAAATTTCTAATTTACTTTAGTAAATTGATGGAGAAGTACCTATAATGCTATTTTTAATTATTTACTTATTTATTATTAACTTTTGTAAATATAGTAAACAAATATAATTATTTTTATATTTGTTTGGCTGAGGAACATTTTTAAAGACACTCAAAAGTTAAAGAAATTCGAATAAAAGTCCAACTATTTCACATACTACCTGGGCGGGCACTCGACTTAACTTCATTACTTTTTGAGGATAAACTTTTGGTGTGTTAGTTTTTATAATTTGTTTTAAAAAATTATTAATAGTTTTTTTGTAAACAACGAATCTTCTTAAACATCATTCATATCTCCATTTATGTCTCAAGCTCAAACATTAGAATAAACTTATTAATTTTTTTAGTTAATTTTTAAGTTTGTGAGTAAGAGAATGAGGAAAGAATTTATACATTAATCATGCTAAGATAGTAAAGTGTGCCCACACACACTGATATACTTATTCTTTGCCATACTAATTACTACTGGTATGGTGTCAAAATAAAAGTAATCTACCAAGAAAAATAATTCACTGTACTAGAACCATCGTGCCTAAATATACTAGAGCAAGATTTTTCAATTGTCGATTCTTGACATTAGCACATCACTAGCACTTTCCAAAAAAGCTTTTAAAATAAAAATAGTGTTTTGAACAATATCAGTTTTATTTTTTTAATTGGTTTTTTTTACAAAGCAGTACATTTGAATTTGATAAACACTATATTAAATCAAACAGGAAAAAATTGTTCTATTATTATTTTTTTTATACACGAATTAACTTTAATATAAAATTCGTCTAGTGTAACTTTAATCAAAGTCTTTAAAAAGCAATACTGTGTGCTTGGAGCCATATAGAGTAGACATTAACTTATTCATAGATCTTTTCTATTAACTGTGGATCTAAAATTAGTTAGTTTTTATTCTACTTGCTGTAAGCTTTATATCCTCCATCACCAATTACCATTGCTCCCTTCTCCTCTACATTATTAATATAATGTTTTTTACATATATTTTAAATATATGAAAAAATTTGAATATATATTAAATTCTCAGTGGTAAATTTTTGTAAATCGTTCAATGCTAAATTGCATTTTATCATTTAAAAGGCTTGTTCCGACTTTCTGAAGTACTCCCTAATCAACGATCTAAAACACTCTCGATATGTTTTTAGAACATGCAAGCCGCACTTAGTAAAATAACTATTTCGACCTATTATGTATAAAAGAAAGGTTTTATGATAAAAAAATTATTCGTTAAACTTATATAAAAAGTTCTGTTTATTTGAAACATACCTTGTAAATTGAACACAATTTTATATATCTTTAAATAGGTATATAATATATCTAAAAACGAATTTTTGAATTTGAAAGCAAAAATATTAAATATTTAATAATAAAAATATTTTATATGATTTTTAGGTTTATTATGCGAAAAAGAAACGACGCGCTCAACAGACTCAAGATGAGGAGGATTCTTCAACTAAAAAAGAACGTAAATTATATAACGATGGTTATGATGACGATAATCATGATTATATTATTAAAAATGGAGAGAAATTCTTGGATAGATATGAAATAGATTCTTTAATAGGTATGTATTTTTATGCAAATTCATCTATAAATTCGTTAAACTTAATTAAATTTGTTAACATACTTACATATATAGTATTAAATGTTAGGGCTTAGAATTAAAACTAAACTGAAAACTGAAAAAAATCTCACATTAAAATAAATAGTATATTAGTCCGGCACCGTATATTTCGGTACCTATTCGGTACGTTAATTCCTCTTATTAATACTTTAATGAAGCTATTAATACTTTAATGAATGAAGAATTCAAAAATAGTTATTATCTATAATAACACAAATTAAGTTTTTTAAAACAATGAAAAAAAACCTTTTAATAGATTAAAATACATAAAAAATATTTAGCCGAAACTTTAATTTTTCTGGGTTAAAAGCCGAAAATAAATTTTTGAAATTGAACCGGAATTAAAAAATTTCGGATTCCAAGACCGTTAATTACACATTACTCTGTTTAAAATATTTACACTTACTAAGGAGAAACAGAGTTTTAAAAATAGATCTCACCTTTGTCTATAAGTTTTTATGACATTTTTGAAATGGTTTTCATTACAAATAGATTTTTTAAAGTAAAGACCATTAAAGTTTGGAAAGTTCCATATTCCAATGGATGATCGAATGCGGCTCGCCCCATCCAATAGGGGTTGCAAAAACCGCGAGATTACTAAAATTTTATTGTTTAACCTAAGAAATTCTTTTAAATATTCAATATATGTGACTGACATGTACTTTTAAGTTTTTATAATATATTTTTTAGATAACACATTTTTTTTTTTTGAAAGACCTAATACTTAATATTTTTTTAGGTAAGGGAAGTTTCGGACAGGTGGTTAAAGCCTATGACCATGAAGAGCAATGTCATGTAGCGATAAAAATTATTAAAAATAAAAAACCGTTCCTAAATCAGGCACAAATTGAAGTTAAATTACTGGAAATGATGAATCGCGCGGATGCTGAAAATAAATACTATATCGGTAAATATAGTTTTCATTTGATGTAATAATGATATTAATATGTGCTTTATTGTTTCAGTAAAACTAAAACGGCATTTTATGTGGCGTAATCATTTATGTTTAGTGTTTGAACTGCTCTCCTATAATTTATACGATCTGCTGCGGAATACGAATTTTCGTGGTGTGTCCCTAAATTTAACTCGTAAATTTGCCCAACAGCTTTGCACTGCTTTACTCTTCCTGAGTACACCAGAACTGAATATAATTCACTGTGATTTAAAGCCCGAAAATATTTTACTTTGTAACCCGAAGAGATCAGCAATTAAAATTGTGGATTTTGGTAGTTCTTGTCAGCTGGGCCAAAGGGTAATTAAAACAATTCAAAATATCTATATAAATATATACATATTATAAATTTTTTTATTATTTTTTCAGATATATCAATATATTCAATCACGTTTTTATCGATCACCCGAAGTCCTCCTTGGCATACCATATGATTTAGCAATTGATATGTGGTCACTGGGTTGTATACTAGTTGAAATGCATACTGGTGAACCACTATTTTCTGGTTGTAATGAAGTTGATCAAATGAATAAAATCGTTGAAGTGCTTGGTATGCCGCCAAAGTATTTACTAGATCAATCAAATAAAACGCGTAAATTTTTTGACATAATTGTTTCGGATGGATCGTATGTATTAAAGAAAAGTCAAAACGGTCGAAAATATAAACCTCCAGGATCACGTAAACTTCATGATATACTTGGTGTAGAAACGGGGGGCCCTGGGGGACGTCGTCTGGGTGAACCCGGTCACTCTGTGGCGGATTATTTAAAGTTCAAAGATTTAATATTAAGAATGTTGGATTTTGATCCGAAGTCACGTGTTACACCTTATTATGCCTTGCAACATAATTTTTTCAAACGTACTACTGATGAGGGTACGAACACAGCAGCGAACATAGCAATATCATCACCGTCGGTTAGTTCGACGTCGTCTTCAGCCATTGGTCAAGGCCAACAGCAACTGTTACCAAGTAGTGCGGTGCAACATCAAGAACAACAAAGTCATGGTAAGTCTGAATAATGCATACTTAAAATATAAACAACTCGTTTATGTTAATTTTAGTTCAAATATTGTTTTAACTTATGTTTGGAATAGTAGGATCGTTCACGTATCCATTTTTTGTATACAATTTTTACAAATAGAATATTTTTATTATATTCGGATTGATTCTCTTGTGGAAATTATTCAGTTGCTTAAAATGTATTATATATTATTTTTGTTGGTTTGATTTTGTTTTATGAAATGAAGTTATTTTAATTTAAAGAAATTTGTTGATTTCTTTATTTTTTATTTATAAATGTATATGAGTCCATATAGAAAATAGTGTACATTTTGAGTGTTACGTATACTTACTTTATTATGTTTTTGTTGTAGTTTGAAAAATTTTACCAAACCCAAACTACTGAAATCTTACTAACTAAATATCGTCATTTATTTTCTTCTCTTTTATATATGCAAACATGTGTACACTTTAAATCATTATACAAATCGTAAATAAAAATTCACTAACAAAACCACGAAATGGTTATGAAATGCAAAATGAATTTTAACATATATATATATATAATAAAAATATTTAAAACTTGACAAATCATTGCTAAAGACGATCGACGATGACCGGTAGTGCCTCGGGAGCAGAGCAGCTTCACGTCATCATCATCTACAGCTTCCTCAGGTTCGGTATCAGGAACGACGGCAACAGGACAAATTGAAACCAAAACCCATTTTGTTTAAAAACAATAATAACTGTCCTATTTTAAAATCATAGCAAGCGACAAGAGTTTATCATGTAGCGCTATATACCATACAATTTATGCTTCAAATAGAAATATGTACACATTATACCACATATACTACGTTCCATGGAACAATTAATAATACAACAAACTATGTTCATTGTAAATTAACAGATATGCGTCAGAAGAAGAGCTAAGGTGTTTGAATGAGAGAGAACTATGAATGTGTTATATTGAATGTAGGACTGTGAGTGCATGTTTTAGAAGTTCCATTAGTCAAATAAACAATGTAAAAACATATTTATAACTCATTTTATTTGTAACAACTGTATAGTTAATTTTTATTTATATATATTTTCAATCTATTTATTAGAACCTTATATTGACTGCCATCAACTAAATTAGTTTTATAAATCTATTACATTTAAATAATTATACAAAAGAGTTATTATGTGTGACTACTAAAATTTCCTACCATTTAACATATAATTAAATTAACAAATAATTATGTGAATATATTGTATACATATATATTTACATAATTGCAAAAAAAAAACAAAAAAAAAATTAAACAATGAAACTAAATTATGAAGGCAACTTTAAAAGATTAGTTGGTTTGACATTGTCGTAATCGAAATTATCAATTTAAATATTATATTATAAATTAAATAAAATTTCATAGACAAAAATTATATAAAAACATATTTTAGGTGATTTAAATAAATACACTTGGCAAAACTATACTAATAAAAAAAAACATTATTTTAATAAATAAACTATAAAATGTAAAATATTTTTGGATATTAAATATAATTATTTACCTTTTGGCTAATAAAGTTTGATCTTACTAAGAAATATACACTTCCTATATTTAAATCTAAAAATCATATAT